CGGGAATTATTTTGAAAGCAGGGAGTTTTCTTCAGGAAACAGACAGGAGGACCTGGAGGTAGGGAGTCCTATCTAGCTGCGACCAGGCTGACGATTCATGGATAATTCAGGGAATCAGGCTTGAATTCAGAGCTCCATTTTGCAGAAATCACTACTTCGCACATGTGCTTTGTCAGCAGTAAAGCGCGGGTGGTCAGGATGCTCCTGTGCTAACTTGGCCACTTTTGTTCCCCTGGAAGGTGCCACCAGTAACCTGATGAGGAAGAGGTGTCCTCCTCAGTGACACGGCTCCATCACAGCATCTTTGGGCATCTGGGGGTGCGAGATGCCAACATGTGAGACCTGGGACAGCTGTCATGAGCAGTTTTTAAAACTCACAATTTGTGGGAGGTGCAGAAGGCCCAGAATTTTGTTTCTTAAATATCTAGGGCTGTCTGCATTCAATTTCTTCCATGCCTTTTTTCAGGTACTGGCTCTCTGAGTTTACCAAGGTTGCCCAGGCTTCCTGAGGATATCGCTGAATTAATCACTGATCCTGTGTGGCTGAAGTGACATTCGGAAAGGTCTCTCTCTTGCCACCCCACGGCTTCCCTTTCAGAGCAGGTGGGGGCCCAAGAAGATGCATCGGGGTTGCAGCAGAGAGGAATAAAGTGCGAGGAGGAAACTGGAGCATCTCCTACCCCGCAGCGGGAGGGGTTGCTGCCAGCTCGGGTCGGCGGAGGGGGTAATTATAACTACCTGCTGCCGTGGATGTGTCACCGCTGTCAACCACAGCGGCTGCCTCCAGTCGCCACGGCAACAGCCTGGAGCCAGGTTTATAATCTTGCTTTCGATGCCGCCTCCCCCTTGCTGCCTCTTTCCCCTCAGCCTTGCCGGTGCCTGAGCCTGTAATTAATTTCATCTGCTGACAAGGCTGGTCTTCACAATCTGCATCATTCACTCAGAAGTTTCATTACTAATTAACTTTTTTTTTTCTTCAAGTTCAAATCTTCTAATTACAAATGGGCCCACGTGCGCGCTCCCTAGGCCCCTCCTCAGCGCTCTGCAATCCCAACAGTCGGCTCGGGGCATCTCACGGCCACGACCCTGGTGCCTTTCGTGGCAGTGAGGCCCAGGCCCTTCCATGGCAGAGACAAGAGCAAGGCCCAGGTGTTCCCACCCCACACCAGATCAGCCCCTCGCTCTTGGCCACTACAAAATGATTCAGGGGAAGGAGCCAGGAAAGCCGCAGTGATCCGTTATTTTCCTAGCGCTGTCACTTGGTGCTTGATTCAAGCCCTCAGGAATAAAGGGGTCACGGCTCAATTCAAAAAAAAGGAAAAAGAGGAAGAGAGAAGGGTTTCGTGACACCTTTAACTGTGGCCTGCTCTCATTCCCACATAACCGTCTCCACTCTTAAAAGCCCTGCTAAATGTTTGGCTTCGGCGCTGCCTTGTGACTTCAAGATTTCTATCTAGGTTAATTGTATTTTGCCTCAAAAGCATTTGCATGTACTGTTTTGATAGCTGGTGCCTTTCTCGTGTCAGCTTTGCCAATGGCGTAGCTCCTTGCTCCCCTTACCCCTCATGTGCAGCACTAGATGCCAACCAGAGGCAGCCATCTGGGTGCTGCTTCCCTCTCTCCCCCACACAGGGAACAGCAGGATCTGTGTCACTAGCAGAGACCAGGCAAGAAAACTACTTGCCCCAAAACATACAGGATGAAGACAGTGCTGTAAACCACGCGTTAGAGGACCTTTGGAGAGCTTGAATGTTGTAGTAGCACTTGACAGCATGACCATGCATGATATAACTTCAGGGATGATGTTAGAAAAGGATGATGTGATCCAGGCAAAGCTTTTCATTTGCATTTCTGTAGGAAAA